TCCAATCTCTTTCTCATTTGGTCAAGATAACATATTACTAATTGCCATTGTCTTTTGTATGGTTGAAAATGAAGTCTACTGGATGGCCAAAAAATTAAACGAAAAGGAAGTCTACTGAAATGCAATAGATTCCAACACAGGACGGATTATGTAACCAGACTAGTTTACTTTTCTTCCAACTTAAAGAATAAAATTTTGGAAAAATCTAAAAATAAAAATCCATTACAAAGTTAGATACAAACGCAAACGTTCAGCAAATACTAATTAATCAAAGATATTATTATATTTACAAAAAAAACCAAAGATATTATGCAATATATACTAATAATTTAAAAAGCTAAAATACTATCAACACAAACACATGCAGATTTGATAATCTAAAAAATGTGAATGTTAATATAATAAATTTTAATAAACAGTAATAAAGTACAAAAAATAAGGTATAAATTGACAGAATATAAAAGAAAAGTCAAATATACTGAAACTTTAATCTAAAAAAATTAAGTTGATCAAAAAATAAAATACTTATTTAGTAAGAAATGGAATACAAAATATGAATAGTCAGATTATTAAAAAATAATAATAAATTATTTGAATCACAATCAATTTAACCGAAAAAATGTATGTTGCACATCTTTCAAGTTGCAAAGAAAATGACATATAGCATCAATTCATTAACACAACACTCCTGCTCTTGCTCAAGGAACAAAAGTGTTCTCGTCTTTGCTGTTGGTCTCGGTCTCAAGCAGTCTATAAGATCAAAATTGCAAAAGCAGCAAAAAAAATTTCCGTCATTGAGGATTTTGGTTCCTTGCTTACAGATTTGAACCAGGCAGCCCACGCTCAACCACCCCATCTTGCACATCATCATTGAGTAACAATCTGAACTTTAGAATCTTGTGAAGCCAAGCAATTGGTTTTACTTGCTTTCTTGGGGTTTGATTTGGATTATATTATACATTTTCCAATGAAGAGGTTTGGTTCTGATGGCTCAGTCTTTTCACGAACCACTGGTGCAGCTTCTGCACAGAAAAATCAAGAAGATCCAGGGCTCCAGGCCCACTTTTTGTGAGTGTTACAAACGAACTCCAGGGCAGTCAGTCAATCAAGGTCTTTTTGTGAGTGTTATATACAGCCACACCTTAGTTTTCCTCTGGAATCGGAACAACTTTCCAAGCCTTTGAAAGCAAAAAATTTCATGAGATGTACTAGACCACTGATCCTAACAAAGTAGAGAGATGCTGCCTAAAAAATAAACTGTTGTTCAAAAATGATACAATTGTAGGATTTTCTTTTGGCTACAATATTTGATAAACACATATGATGCGCTATACTTAAACAGAAATCAGATTTTAGATTGAAGTTCTCAATTTAATAAGAGGTAATGAACATATCAGATAGAGTTTCGAAAATAATGGTATTCGTGTGGAAGAACATGTATGAGTATATTTATCACTTCGACATAAAAGGAATTATCACGAGTGATGCAATGAAAGAAGCCATAAAGAGGAAGCACATTACATTTTTTGTGTGAAGTGTGTTCATAACAGAAGAGTTTCCAGCATTAAGATACCGAGCAAATCCAAAAGATATTGCTTCGATGTCAGTTTTTAGATATTGACAACAGAGATCCCTTAAAAAAATTAAGATAAATGATGGTGCCAAGTAAAAACTATTCATCAGCTAAAAGAGCAGAAAATACACAAAGCACATTCCATAGAGTAAAACAGCTAAGTAGACTAGGGCTTTTGTGTTAAAAATTTGACTCAAACTGAAAGAAGGGTAGCTTTTCCAACTACAAAGTTTTAAACCAAGAGAAACAAGAAGAGCAGAAAAGACAAATGCTGATACTGGGTGAATACAAGTTATCAGCTAAAGTGCAGAAAATATAACATACGTCGCTACAATACCTATTAATGCAAGCATGGAATGCTAGTGTTGGTTATTCCTTCGATAATATTTTAAGCCATCTCTTTGTAGCCTAAGCAGAAAGAAGATAACACTGAAAAGGGGACCTACAAGTGTTTACAAGGAGTCTCAGCCTTAAAAAATACACCTAGAAAATGAGATCAACCTTGTTTAACAAAGGAATCATGTGTTTATGCTTGCATTTTTCTTTCAAATGCCTGTCTAGATGAAGGCATCTTGTTCCTTGTCCAAAACCTGTAACAAGAAATATATATATAGAGAATGGACTGACATAAGCATTCTTTTCAATCCTCTTAACACTTGAAGGTGGGCAAAAGCTATGCATTAAACATATTAAAATAAAGAAATCTAAACAGATAAGCAGGACACCATATAGTCCTATTAATCACTGGTGGTAACAGTAAATTCCCAGCTAGCGTATTAAGTGAAGAGGCCAGAAGGAAAACAATTGAATGATACTTCTGTTGAGTCCTTAGACAAGAAAAGAAGAGGCAATGACGTGGAGAACAACATCTGAGGAGACAATAACTTTGCAAAGTTCACCCCCAAATGCTTATCCCTCTCAAACCTGATGTGCCGAGCTAGATCCCTAAATCCATGTCCTTCACTTCGTCCACTGAAAATAGAGGCACCATACTTCTTCTCGAAGGCACCTGCAAAGGTTAACACCAAAAGTAAAGCACAGAAATAAATTATGTCTTGAGTTCCAGAAGCAAGGGTAGAATTGAGAAATTTATTCACATTAAGGATTATCAGCTTTCCTGAGTAAAGACTTGTAATCTGCTGCTGAGAGCTGGCACTTCTGCTTACCCTTCAGTCCAAATGCATCCTCAAAATGCATGGTGTCAAGAAGATAAACACTGGCTTGCTTGACAGGTGTACCAGACAAAAATTAATTAGACAAAATTCAGTTCAAAAAAGACAGTAGGCAAGAATATTCAGCCAGACCTAAACTCTACCAAGCAGGCGTGTTACTTTTTAATATGTATATTGAATGATCTACAAGAACAAATCATAATATTATTGAGGCATATATCAAACAACAAAAAAAATGCTAGGCTTGAGAAATCAGACTCCCACGCATTAGCAAAAATGCATTGAGCAACTTCATCAAAGCAGAGGGATTATATGGTTTAGCAGACAGTCAAAACTGAAATAAATTATCGAACAAAATGCCAATAAAGATGGTCAAATCGAAGCATAACATTATCTAGAAGGTGGAGAAAGCCCTGATTGTTTTAAATTTGAGCTCCTTTTATAAGTACCCTTTTATAAGTACCCTTAAAGATACATCAGTTACAACAAAAGGCTTGGTTCAAATACATGGTATAAACTGGATACATAGTTCAAACTATGAATCTTTAATGACTACTGCATGCATAATCTTCTCAAAACAAGGTTGTAGGTAGGAAAAATGGCATGCTGGTTAGAGTATATATACCTCAAGTGCTTTTGGAAGGGTAAGAACTAAGAATAACACCGCAACACCATGGCACCATGCTGCCATTTGTTTAAGATTATTACATCATCAACTCTTTATGGATGCAAAATCTAAATAAGTGTTATTGATTTTGTTCTCTAGAGATGATTTCAAAGCAGGCATGTCTTACCACGCCCCTGGTATATGTTGTGTCTTCACCAATATCAAAATGCTTGTTTAAAAAGGAACAATCTCATAAGAACTGTTTTTTCCAACTTCATTTGACACGTCATGGGAAATTCAGCTTTGCTCTTAAGAGTGATTGAAGATCAAATGACGAGACTAGGTATGCAAACAAAGCTATTGTGATAGGAATTTTGCTCAAGTAAAATGAAAGAGCAAGCAAATTGCTGTTTGGATTGTGTCAATTAATAGCAATCCAGCAACTTCTCATCACCAGCATGCTTTTCTAAGGCAGCACCAATGGTCCAAACATCAGCCTGACCACAGAAATGTAACACACATGCCTATATGCAAGGATGGACATTACAATTTTCTTTTCAGATAGGAATGATCATTGATGATGTTTAACCATAAGTAAGTTTAATTAAAAAAATACAATTATGAAGTTCACCAAAACTCATAAATCAAACTACTCTTTTGTAGTATTATGACTATCCTAATATGGTGTAAGATCAAGTTATATAGTAATATCTCACAATTTTAGCTAAAATGATTATTACAATAAAAGCAAAGATGCAAATGCAGAGAAGGAAATACCATAGGAAATAAGACAGATCATAGGATTGAAATACAAAATTACACAGGTAAAGAAACAAACATTTCCACTTAGAATTTGACATATTTAAAATCACAACATACAAATAAAATAAAAGAGCAAGCCTATGTATATTAAATTGAAAACCCGACAACAACAGGTGTAAGCAAAGGTTATTTCCTTCGGCTTTCTTGTGGTAACAGAGTCCAACTCCAGTTTTGCTGCCAATGGGGAGAAGAAACAAAAGATATTGAAAAGAAAAGACAATAATGAGAGAGAGAGATTTGTTGAGATAGAAAGGAAGAAGAAAAGCATAAAAAATGAAAACTCCTACTGAGTTGAATCAGAATTAGAATCAGAAATGGAAAACTGAAACTGAAAAGTCTTACATTTGCCCCGCCCAATCACCAAAGAGCCTGCATTCCTTTGTTTCATAGCCCATCCCAACCGAACTTGATGGAAGGTAGAAGGACATCCTTTGCATTGGATTGGTCCCATTCCAATGATTCCTAGCGTTCTTTTGTGTCTACCTGAATTTGTTTGAGGGAAGGAGGCTGGCCATTGTCAAGCGAGGAAAGATGTAGAGGAATCCTCTTTAGCTTCTCACAGTCGCCAATCTCCAGACTCTTGATGGAATCACAAATTGTTGGTAGAAAGTCCAACCCCATGCCTATGAACACATGGATTTTCCATGTAGAAGTTTGCTTCACCAGCCTATAAGCCAGTTGTGGGTTAGATTGCTTTGTTGAAATCTTTCAAGATTGCATGTTGACCCATTTAATAAGCAAAGAAAATCTTGGACGGGTGATAATGAGGCAAAGAAAAATGGTGCATGGGTGGTTGGATTTTTTACTATAAATACCCATGCATGCAAAGGCAATGAGCAAGCAAAAGTAGGAGAAAGCAAGAGAAATTGAGTGAGAGCTCTTGTGAGAGAAAAGAAAGAGAGAAATTGTGAGAAATTCTTGTGTAGATTAAGAGGGAGTATTAGGGAGAATTTGAGAGTTTCTATACATTGAAGCTAGGGTGTTGAGTGCTTCTTGAGTAAGAGAGTATAAATTATTTTATTCTTTTTCTTAATAATGGATTTATTTCTCTCTTTCCTATGAACGTAAACTTGTTGAGAGGTGTACAAGTCGAACCACGTTAAATTGTTGTCTCAATTTATTTATCGCTTCCGTTTGTGTGAGATTGTGGTGCTTGAAATTCCCAACAAGTGGTATTAGAGCTGTTGGTAGAGCTCCTGATGTTGTGGCGAAATGCAAACTGAAACCATAAAGTATTCAATTCAGGTGTTTGATGGCAAGAATAACTTTGCTCTATGGCAAAGCACTGTGAAGGATGTCCTTACTTGTCAAGGACTTGACGCAGCTCTAGAAGAGACCAAGCCAGCTAAGATGAAAGATAGTGATTGGAGTACTATCTAGAAGAAGGAAGCAAGTCAAATTCGGCTGGCGCTTGCACCAGAGGTAAAATACAACGTCCTTTCAGAGATTACTCCAATAGGCATGTGGAAGAAGCTTGAAGAGATATATGCTTCAAAATTTTTAACCAATCGGCTGTGTTTAAAGATGGAGATATATCAATTGAAGATGGCAGAAGGCACAAATATTCATAAGCACTTATCTGATTTCAACATGATGGTCACACAAGTAGTGAATGCTGGGGACAATCTAGAAGAAAAGGAGAAGGCTTTGCTTTTACTTGCATCCTTGCCAAAGTCTTACAAGTCCCTAATGTAGAGTATGCTAGTGGGTAAGACTACTTTGGTGATGAAAGATGTCACATCCATGTTGTTGGAGAATGACAAGTTTCTTAGGGAGGATGATGGTGCCAATCAAACTAATGCTTTGGTGATGGAGCACTCTCGGGGAAGATCCAATGGACGTGGAGGTGGAGGAAATTGAGAAAGGTTGAAATCCAAACCTAAGAAGGATTATGGTGAAGTGTAGTGTTTTTATTGTGGTGAGTTAGGTCACAAACAGTATAAATGCCCGAAGTTTAAGGAGGACTTTTCTAATATGAAAATATTGATGAAAAGTCAAGAAACCAAGGGCAAGGGGGAGGCTAATATTGTTGAGAAAAATGTGGTTGAAGTATTAGCTTGTGAAGAGTGTGATCTTGAGGTGGAGCAAAACAATCAAAGGTGCATTTTGAACTCTGCTGCAACTACGCATGTGTGCAATAATCCTTCGGAATTTGTGAGTTTGGTTCAGGGGGAGCTTGGCAAAACAACAGTGGCTTCCAGTGAGAAGGTGGATATTGAAGGCATAGGAGTATGTTCGTCTCAATGTTCAGAATGGGAAAGCCAAGATTCTCAAGAATGTGAGATGTGTGCCCAAGTGTTCAAGCAACATTATTGCTTTGAGTGAGTTGACAGCATGAGGGTGCAAGTATGTCAGAAAGCAAGAATGGTGCAAGGTCTACAAAGGTGGAAGACTTGTCTTGCGTGAGAGGAAGAACAAGCACAACATCTATGTGCTTGAGCAACATCTCGAGAGAAGGCTCAACAAGACCATGAGGAAGATGGTATGGAAGCCTAAAGGGATCTAGGTAGATGGCAAGGAAATTAATAAGACCAAGAAGAAGGTGAGCTTCAACGATGAAGTGGTGTTTGATGATAGTTCGAGGAGGTGTGATTTTCCCTTGGATCATATCTTGGTTAAAAATTAATTTTGGTAATGCACCTAGTGTAGGTTTGTCCTATCCTATTTTAGGGGGAAGCTCTCAAAAATAGGACACCATGATGAAGTGTTTTTGAGCAGGGGGAGCTAAGTCATGGTTAGTTTCTCCTCCATGGGGTTGAAGGGGGAGATTGTTAGTAGAAAGTCCAACCCCATGGATGTGAACGCATGGACTTTTCATGTGGAAGTTTGCTTCACCGGCCTATAAGCCAGTTGTCGGCTAGATTGCTTTGTTGAAATCTTTCGAGATTGCATGTTGAACCATTTAATGAGCAAAGAAAATCTTGGACGGGTGATAATGAGGCAAAGAAAAATGGTGCATGGGTGGTTGGATTTTTTACTATAAATTCCCATGCATGCAAAGGCAATGGGCAAGCAAGAGTAGGAGAAAGCAAGAGAAATTGAGTGAGAGCTCTTGTGAGAGAAAAGAAAGAGAGAAATTGTGAGAAATCCTTGTGTAGATTAAGAGGGAGTATTAGGGAGAATTTGGGAGCTTCTATACATTGAAACTAGGGTGTTGAGTGCTTCTTGAGTGAAAGAGCTTCAAAATTATTGTATTCTTTTTCTTAATAATGAATTTATTTCTCTCTTTCCTATGGACGTAAACTTGTTGAGAGGTGTACAAGTTGAACCACGTTAAATTGTTGTCTCAATTTCTTTATTGCTTCTGTTTGTGTGGGATTGTGGTGCTTGAAATTCCCAACACAAATCAAGACACTGGAACTGCTACAGATCTTTTCAATTCGGGCAACTTCCTCAATTTCAACCATTGTAAATTGGGTAGAGTGATTTTTTCTAGGGCTTCTTTTTCTTCATAGGTCGATGATGATATCAGCTCCTCCATTTGGTAACAGTAAAAAACTTCAATAGTCGCTAGAGATTGGAAGTAGCCAAGCAACCTTCCAGATGAGAATACTTTCTTTAATTTATCACAATTATACACAACAATTGTTTTAAGAGAGAAAAAGGTGATGGGAGGAGTCGATAAACCAAGAGCTTCTTCATTAAACATGGATTTCAGATTCTCTAAACCCCAAAGCTGCAAATACTCAAGGGTTGGAAGAGGGTTGTACCCCGACCACAAAACACTCTTTATTTTGTCGCAACCCCCAATTTCAATCTTTTGATGGAATCACAGATCAAAACAGTACTGGAACCATTGTAGATGCTTTTCAATGCGGGCAAATCCTCTAATACTAACCTTTCTAAATTGGATAGAGTGAATTTTTCTGGAGCTTTTTCTCCTCCTTCATATTCAGACGATATTATCTCCTCCATTTGATCACAACCCATAACCTTAACAGTTTGTAGATTCTGGAGATACTGTAACAACCTAAGCGGCAATAACTTCTTTATTTTCCCACATCTCAAAACTTTAATTTTTTGAAGGGAAGAAAAAGTGCCAACTGGCTGCGGTGCTAACTTGGCAACTACTCCCACTTCCCCAAACATTGCATTCAAGTTATACAAATCATAAAGGTACAACGACTCAAGGTTTTGAAGTGCTTTAAGCAGCGCGAGAAAACAACAAACTCCATGCCATTACATCGATCATCAGTGCAGTGCTGCAAGTCGGTTGCATCTTGAAAGCCAGAAATGTCGTTCAAGCTTCTCCCATCCTTGCAGTCCAAGATGTAGAAGCCTTGTACATCAGATGGTAACCAATTAGGCTCCTTACAAATATCAATATGATAGCATACAATTAATTTCATAGCACTTGAAAAGGTTTTGTCATACTTGTAAGGATCAAATACATTGTGACTTCTAACAAAAATTCTGTACTGATTTGGAAACTTTCTTCTAGACTTGACAAAGAGGCTCAAATCATCCAGCGTAGGGAACCAGCAAGTAAGAGATTCCAACTTCCTCAGTCTTCCAATCTCCTCCCATGTCCCAAAAAGGTTTAACTTTTTTAAGCCTCCGAGGGTGGATAAAAATGGTACCTTTTTTAAGGACTCACAATTCTCCAACAGTAATGTAGTAAGATTCTCTAATTTGGAAATAGAACTCGGCAAGCCCCCTAGCTTGTAATTGTTGGAAAGATCAAGGATCTTCAGCCCAAGCATCTAATCAAAAAAAGCTTCTGGAATTGTTGTAATATTGTTAGTGGACAACAACAAGTTTGTGAGCATTGGACACTTGGGAGACGACATGATTGAAGGAATTTCTCTTATGTTATTATTCATTAGAAAAACCTTCAAAATATCTTCTCTCCATTCATGCTCCTCTGGTAGCTCTTCCAAGGCCATGCCAGCTTTCACCATGAATTGAGGATTGATATTCAACACCATTTCTCGAAAAAGATCATGCATACTCACACAGTCTTCTATGTATATTATTTTAGCCAATCCACGCACAGCCACCCAAACTCCTTTGTATTTATTTTTAACCAATTCCAACATGCAATTGTCTATCAACTTCTCAAAAATAACATGGCCCTCACAAATCATTGAGTAACAAGATCCCCTTGCATCTAGTATAAATCCCTCCTCAATCCAAAACTCAATCAATTCCTCTTTTGGGATTTCATAATCCTCAAGATACAATGCACAATATAAAAAACACTTCTTGTATTGTTCTTCCAAGTGATCATAACTAAATTTCAAACTATCAACAATTTCTTTAGATTTACTTAATTCTTTATTTGCCATCTCCCAGGAGTAACGATCAAACTTTCCTCTCATAGTCTTTGCTACCACCCCAATAGCAAGGGGTAGACCATTACATTTCTTCAACATTTGATTCAAAAAAGGTTCTATATCACTTTTGTATCTGGGATAGAACACCACCTCACTTCCAACTTTATCCAAGAATAATGCTAATGCTTCATCATCTGGAAGAGGCTTCACATAGATCACCTCACACTCCATTGCACGACCAACCTTTTGTTGTAACCGTGTCATGAGCACTAACTTGCAACCATTATTTCCCACTAGATTAGGGATTCCAACATCTTCTAAAGAAAAAGGCTCCCACACATCATCCAGAATTAAGACACAACTACCCTGTTGCAATTTTTGTGATATCAATCCTGCAAGCTCTTTTGCATCTTGATCCTCATTCTTCAAATCCAATGCCAATTTTCTTGCAATGCTCTTCTGAAACTTGAGAATATCAAACTGTTTTTTTTGCTGGACAACAATATCAAAGTCCTTTGACTTTAACCCAAATAACTTTATCAAATTTGGGTTCTTTCAATAGTTGGTTGTGGACTTGCTTCATGATTGTTGTCTTGCCCACGCCACCCATTCCACAAACTGCAATTCTTGTAACCTCGTCTTCCCTCAACAATTGCAGAATTTCTTCTTGTATGTCATCCCATGCAATGCATTTTTCAGCAGGCAGTGTGACTCCTTTTTTTGAGTGATCATCGACGACCAAACTCACACCAAGATTAGTGAATTCTTTTCCTTCCTTGATTGTTTGCTTCAATTCTTCAATCTTCTCCTCGAGTTTGGTTGATGAGGAACATGCCCCTCGGTTGATCAAATCTTCAACCTTCATGGCAATTTGTTGGCCTGCTTTTTCCTGCCAGTCTTCAACTTCCTTCCTTGCAATCTTTATTGATTGCTTAAGCTGAGTCATCAAATTTGCCTCAATGGATTCCTTTTGGTGCTTCAACTACTTTTGCTTATCTTCAAATACACTCACACAATATTCGATTGAGTGATCATCTACAACCAAACTCTTACTAGAAATGGTGTATTTTTCTCCTTGCTTAAATATCCCTTCATTTAATGCTTGAGTCTTTTTATCGAGCCTTCTTGATGAGCAAATATATGTGAAACAGCCCCCTTTACAAATCAGATCTTCGATTACCTTTTCGGCAGTTTCTTGGTGCGCTTCCTCCAGCCAAGCTTCAACCTCTTTATTCTTAATCTTTCCGGCCTTAAGCTGTGTCCTCAAGTTTGCGTCAACGACATCATGTCGGTTCTTCAACTTCTCTTGCATTTTTTGGAATTCGCTCACATAATCTTTGTGATATATCTGATATTTGACATATTTCCAAACTGTAGGCCAACAGCCTTCACAAAATCAATGACTGAATTTATGTTGTCCATTAGGGACTCCGTGCATGCATATATTGAAATTGTTGGTCAAAGGCTAATTGTGCGTTAGAAACTTAATTGACCCTAGGAAAGGGATCATACAAATAATTATTAAGAGAAACGAGGTTAGAAATTAAAGAAGGGAAATTAAACTGGACACTTAGTAAACCACCAAATCCGCATTTAAAAAAAAAATGTATGAATATCTCTTCAAATTATTGATCAAAATAAATAATTTATTATTTAACATGTGATATCATTACCTGTCAACTTTTCGTTGAAAACTGTTTAGATGACAAACAAATTTGTAACATATGATGACGTCACATGTTAAATAATAAGTGATTTGTCGTAATAGTATTAAAATCATTTTAGTTCTTATTTTTCTAATAAATCATAATAATATGTTGTGAAAATACGTGAAAATAAATGCGCTTTTTTTAAAAAAATTCTAAAATTTATAAAAATTAAAACTAAAAACTAAAAACTACAATCATACTACATAGAATATAAATTTAAATGCTTTAAATTAAATATATTAAATTAAAAGTTAAAATTAAACAAAAACTATTACTTACTCCTTTCATTTTTAGTAAACTTAATTTAACTTTTAACTTTTTAGGCATGAATTTCAAAAAAAAAAAAAAACATATTATATAAATGATAATTGAAATTTTTTTTATCAACTAAAAATGCTCAACAAGATCTTCATATAGGAAGAAAAAAAATTTTAATTGTTAATCATATAAATGGTTAAATTTTTATTTAAATTTTATATTTAAAAAATCAGAAAATAAAATTAGATGTACTCAAAATGAATGAAGAGAGTATATTAATCTAAATATAGTATTAGCCAAT